TACCCTGTATAACAAGATTACACTTTTTAAATGTACACTTTTAAATATCTCATTAATTACAAACAATTCAATTTACGACCTTGTCGCTGACATAATTTATAAAACTTTGTTGCATCTATATTTTCATTTAATCCAGTTAATAGTAGCTGAGAACACATTCAGTTTTTTTTTTCAAAATACTTGACAATACAATGTGGTTGTCTGCTTAAAATTTAACATCATCTTCATTTCCTTATTTATAATACACTACAGCAGGGGCGGATCCAGGAATTGAAAGAGGGGGTTCAAAATGTTTCCAAAAACACCCCAAAATGAAAGGGGGAGGGGTCGGGATGTCTTGCCCAGGGAAAATTTTGATTCCTAAATGGCTGAAAATGAGCTGTCCCAACTTCTGAGGAGTCTTTTAATGACCTTTAAGTTCTTCAAAATTCAAGGTTTTCCCCATCTTGGAAAAGGTCAGGTAATTTTATATCATTCTTTAGGCCTATACATAGAGAAAAAAATCAAAGACATAGGCAATATATTATTATATTCCAACAACATTGAGTAGTTAGATATGTAGTCTTTCTTCTATGGATCGATGAACTGATAGGCCTGAAGAACGCACTTTCGTATATAAAATATTACGACATCGAAACAAAACCAGTGTGTATAATTTATTTAATTGAAGACTAGTTGGGCTAAAGCCTAGTTTGTCTGATCTGCTAACCTATACCTAGGTAGGTTAGCATGCCTTTTGTAAGCCAGGACCCAGTAACATTTTGTTATGTTTCTTCACAGAGGGGGGGGGGGTTCATCTGAACCACTTGAACCACCCCTGGATCCGCCACTGCTACAGACTAGTGATGCTTTTCATTGGATACAGAATTAATCATATACAATACACTAATGGAGGGGAGCTGTAGCTTGGTAGATAATAATCTCTCCATTCAAACCCAGGGTCCTTTTGGGTAAATTTCCCATCGATTACTACAATCAAGTCATACAGGAATATAGACAACAACTTGATTTCTTGCTGCTTAAGGCATTCATTCGTTAAAGACTAGTGAAAATAACCTACCTCAGATATTAGTCATCAAGACCAGACTACCTCCTATCTAACACCAGGAATTTTCTCACAAGGAAAACCAACTACATTTCCTTAAGCCTCATAATGAGAATTATATTAGGCAGTTCATCACATAATGTGATCTAATAAACTAGGATAGTATGTAAAGTGCTTTAGAGACCATGACATTATGCGCTATTTTAAAACTGCCATTAGTTCCATCTTGCATAAATGCCAAGTGTAATGTAAAATTTAAACATAAAAAAATCTTCTCTGTTCCTTGGGGAATAAGTCAGCATCAGACAAATTTCATTCCATATCATTTACATCCTGGATTATACTTCTGGGTGAAAGAGAAACAAACATCGGCAATGTATCTTTCACCAAAAGTCTATAAACATTTCAACCAACCTTGGACAACACATGACTCTTCGATATAATGAAGAGCCCTTTACAGCTATACCACAAACATTTCCACATCATAAACTCTTACTTGTAATTTTCTTAATATTAAAGAAATACAATCTTAAAATATTCAGACCTTTAGGAGTAAATAGTATAAAAGTATTTATATGACTCATATTTTTACACAAAATTATTCCTAATGGTGAACAAAATATTTCACATTTTCTATCATTGATGACTTGCAGCATTACTTTCTTCTTATATTTTCCTACGCAGCAATATTAAAATGTTTGCAAAATTCAAGCAGCATCGGGTATCATTCTGAAACACTGCGCAAGTTCTTAGCTCAAGTGCACCATATATCTTTAACACTCTGACTAACACTTTTCCTAAGGTCGTTGAGAATGTGATCAGATTTACATGTAGTGAATAATACTACAACTACAAACATTTTAGCTTTACAATGGTACCAAACACTTTATTCTAATCACAATCTGTGACCCGTAACAGTAAAATGAAAATGACTCACTTTTGGAGATTTACGCAATTTCGTAAAAGTAAAAACGAAGCTGAGATAATCGCAATTTCGTAAAGGTAAAGCAATATTGCTCTACGCTGATGTAAACAAACAAATGGTGAAATACAGATAGTCAAGACTGAATATAGTGTTCAAATTGTTAGTACATGTCGGTTATTAACCCATCCCTTTAAGCATTTTTAGACTTTTTATATGTATCTTCTTAATGGGTCGACATCTTTTTTTCTGAATTGTTATCAATTTCATTATTATCTTTTTAATGGATTGATTTTTGATATCCGTATGACGTTTTAAATATTTTTATCAATTGTATTTTAACTTTAATCTTTCCTTGCGTATTGTATTGCCAGAGGAAAACAAATTTCCAGTTGTTTTATTGGACAATAAATGTTTTCTTATCTTATCTTATCGGATTCCATCAAAAAACCAGAAACATGGGGATCTCTGTGTTTGGCGGTTAAGCGTTGCGTTACCAAACATGGAGATCTAAGTGTTTGGCGGGCAGAGTGTTAAGGACTCAGCTTCTCATAGTGCTATTAGTTCGAGTGAAGGAAACACCACAACTTCAGCAAAAATGTAAAATGAATACAGATCGATACAAATCTCTTGATTTACACAATATACTACATACTCCAATGAACCAATATATTAAGGACAACATTTGATACATGCACAAGGACAAGTTCCCCTCCTCCGTTTTGTCACTACATTTTAAAATTTCAATAAATCCCTAACGCCATGTACTGAAATAAAAGTAATAGAATACAATATGTGTCCCCTCCCTGCCTAGATCCGCCACTGCCAAATGCAGTATCAAATTAATTATTTTTCATTTTAAATTAAACAGCAAATCTCTAAGATGACGGTGGTTTTGCTTTTGCTGCTCCCTGGATCACCTTTATTTTTATATGTTTCTGAACTGCTGATTTTTTGTTTTTTGTACTGTTTTTATATTAATATGCATTTGCCAGAATGAATGAAATAAAATAAAAAATTAATACTTTGTAGGCTTAAAACAATTTTTTTTATATTATCAATAAAAAACAAAAAATTATCAGCAATGTCTTTCTTTGCTTGTAAAGTACATATTAACATTAATTACCCATTTTTACCTATTACAATAGTGAGAATAAAAATGTTAGCAACCTCAATCAATATTTGCAGTTCTACTGCAACGCAGACCAAAATTTATCATCGTCCCTTATGACCACATTCACAAATGACATTTGGTGACTCAATAATGTGCTTCCGTTAATACTAATGTAACATTCGTAGGCAACAAATTGGCAATCAATTCGTAAACCAGACTCATTAAACTGTGCCAGAATAAAAAGGAAAATGTCCTACAGGGAACATTACATTATCCATGAGCAGACATTGTTCTAACAACATAAAAATGTTTGTAAAGACAAGATATTTTTTAACTTGATTTTTAAAGAATGATCTCCAGAGTGTTGGAAAAAAAATAAAAAATTTTATTTTTCTTAATTTGCAAATTATTCGACCAAAAGTACCTAAACTCAGGAGAAATTAAAATAAAATATATAGAAGGCTTTTAAAAAATCCATGAGCTAAAGAGAGTTGTTGGCGCCCTTCTTCTTACCTATTAATCTATATCATAATTTAATATTATTATTAAATTATTATCAAAAATGCCTCTGATTTTTCATTCTATTATCACCATTTTAATTTATCACTTTATCAACAAAATATCAAATATTTGGTGGACATCTATGCATAATATTTTTGATTTACAAGAAATATGAGATTTGAAATGTTTTGCTATGAGTACTGTACTACAAATATGTAACTACTTGAAACTCAAATCCTAAAAATTGATTTTGAAATTCAACAAAATCCCAAAAGTTTTTTCTATTTTCATATAGATTATGTTGATTGTAGTGTCTAGACTTCAATTACAACTATAGTATCACCCTCAATACAAATGTAAATGTCATTGGTCGATTGACAGGAATAAAAGTATGAATTATAGAGTGTACTGTATTACTACTGAAGTATGGATTGATGTTTAATTATTGATAAGGTAAAAATGCCAAATGTGGTAAAAAAAAAAAACACTTCTCATATCCATGGAAGGCCATGATGCCAATGGTGGTCCAGATGAAAACAACATGATTGAGAGACAAAATTTTGTACATGTGAAGAGAAACTGTGTTTCAAATGATACCAGCCAGCTCAAGCAAAACAATCTGCAAACAGTTGTCATAGCGCCCCCAACAATTGTACTTTTGCATGATTGTAAAGAAAGCTGAACCAATTAGGCATTGAACAAGTATAAACCAACCCCCCAAATATAGTATTTTAATTAACAAACAAAAATATTAATATAAAATACCTTTTTACAGAGAATTGATGTGCCCATTAACAATCCATATTTGGATGGGTGGTAGACATTTTAAGGGTGAGTAGGTGATGATAACATTGCTCTAAATAAAAAGAGTGGATTTCAAGAATGGGCAAAGGGATTAATTAAGGTTTGTAGAGGGTCATTTCAGTTGAAGAGGCATGGCCCATGAAATTAGCTTTAGACTGGGTGGAAAACTTCAAGTCGGGGAGGCCTAGCACACCTCTGCCCACCATATACCTACATCCATGAATACCAACTGAAGTTAGTATAAAATGTGGCAAGTGGCAAAGTCACTGACAGATAAAGAATGTTTAAAACAAAGTAAAAATGTGCTCCTTTACAAGCAGATGTAAAAGTAGAGCCTTGTTTGAGTTCTAACAGACAAAGACACTTGTAATTTGTTTGATCAGATATTTCTGAAACAGAAACATGTGACATGCCTAAATATGGTCATGATGACATCACATCATGATCATATATAGACACATCATGACTATATATGGGCATGTAACAGCTGTTTTACAAAGAAAATTTGATAATCTGGACAGGGCCTAAACAAAGTCTGATAAAAAACATTGCTTGTTAGTGCCTACAATACAGGTATTACACACAAGAAAGTAGAATTTTTTTTTGCAAATATAATTTCTCCCCACTAACATTGACTACATTATGCAATTGTTACACAACATATAAATGTGTAGGTTTACTGTATTGTGATGCCAATTATGAAGCTTTTGATATTTTATTCTAGCGGGTTCAACAAAATTTAAAGCAATCAAAATACTCAGGAAATTTCCAATTGAAGTCCATGTAGTCCAAAAGCAGCAACCTAGTGAGAAAGTTATAAAGTAAACTCAAGAGGGCTCCCTTAAAAAATATACAGTAACCCATGAAAAATGAAAAATGTTGTCTGCTATTCATGGAGAGAGCAGCTTAAACAAAATTTTAAATATGTATATAAAGTTCTAATTCATTGATGAAATATATTTTAACATGAAACAATTTATTTGACCTTTATGTTGCAATTTATTTTACCTTTATGTTGCTTATGTATTATTTTGTTGCTAGCAGCACTTTAAAGAGTAGCTTTAATGCCACTTTTCAGCAATCCCGTCTGGTTTTAGCTAGGAATGTTTCTTTTCTGTTTTTCTTTCTTTTTGTTGTTAATCTGTTACTGCATGTGTTGAACTGAAGATGAAATAAATGATATATATGATAAACTGGTAGTATTTAGTGTGTAACTGGGACCCTAATATAACCTTGATCCGCAGTTCTATTCCATAGCCGTTCTCCTTGTCTTTTCAGTTGGAGGGCTAAAATACAAGTTTCAATAGCACACCATCTTTCGAAAAGGATGTTTAAGCCCTTAGTTCAATATGACCTATGTACAAGAACGCAGTACACTCAGCGAAAAACAGCTGGGAATAATCTACCAGTGCACTGACCAACTTACCACCAGAAGGACCTAACCCATCCTCAAAATCTTTGATCCGCCAAACCCAGATGCAATGTGTTTGTTTCCTCAAAACTGATTTCCAGCTACAATTCACAAAAACACATCCATATTCTCAATATATCACAAACAGTGAAGTGAGTAGAACTTGAAATGATGTGAGTAGAACTCGAAATGATGCAAGATTGCAAACTGTGAAGTTATCATTAGTAAACAATATTAATAAATGATGTGACAGTTTAGTTCCTCTGTGGAATAACAAGCTCGACAACCACATTTATCACCAAGAAACTTCTTTCCAGTTTTTTCATTCAGCTGCCAATTATTATCAACATGCGAATTTTGAAGATGTACATTTCGCAAAAAATCCAGGACCATGGCTGGATTTATCCTCTGTCACTGTATCTCAATGTCTGTTGCCTCATCCGGAAACGGAGGACACATTTGTTTTTCAGGTTGTTAATAAAGTGAACAACATCAACGAACATATGATGTGGAGATCAACGAGTTAGAAACATTGTGATGTATTAACTCAGATTACCTTATGAACGTGATTCATCTTCCAATAACAACAATGCTCTTTCATCACCTACATAGAAAAAACAAACAGCACACTTAAATTAACAGAAATAACAGATTGTCTGACCTCCTTTATATGCATCTATATGGCAACAGAATCACTTTTTTATCTTTCTTTTTTGAAGTATAACTTAAGTCTTTGTATCTCAAATTTGAGATTTTAAGAGAATAGAATGAAAAATAAAACAAAATTTATTGTATTTTGTATTTCTATTACCACTAAAATATACTTTCACAACCAAAACAAAAACAACTCCACTCACTTGTATGTTGTTATTATTATTCTTGTTATTATTGTTGTTGTTGTTATTATTATTGTTATTATTATTATTATTGTTGTTGTTATTATTATTATTATTGTTGTAATGATGTTGTTTGTACTGTTCTTTAATTTTATTAAAGAGGGCCCCTGAATATCAGTTAACCTACTGGGCTAAACTGAAAGGGTTACCCTCTTTAAAGATGGTTGAAATAAACAAAAAATAAATTAAAAAAATAAATAAATAAAAATAAACTAAGCCTCATTATCAGACTAAAGCCGGGGACTGACTGCACCGTACAACGAATGTAACTCTGCTCCCCGTGAACGATAGGGTCGTCATTAAAAACGATCTGTTGCATGCGAGTCGTGGCATTGCGTTCTACATACAATCGCATTGGCCAACTACTGTTGGGCACAGCGAGTGGCTGGCTTAAGTTTATGTAAAGCACGTTGTGTTTATATTTGTCTTGAGAAGGGATATGCCACTTTGAACAGTGATTAAGTTCGCTGCTTGGCATATCCATTTCCTTCGACCTAAACCAATTAACATAAAAAAATATTTCTACAATAATACCATATGCTGTATACTGGACCATCTGCAACATTATTATTATTAATTTGTGATAAACATGTTGTTTATTAGTGTCCTGATGCCATGTGGGTATTTTATACCGACTACATAGATTCCAGGCATTTAGTTGGTTAAAAGCTGGGCAATAATTCCAGCCATGCCCTCTAATGCCTACAATCTATGTAGGGGTATAAAAAAAAAATTTAATGGGTTGTAATCAGGTCATAGTTCAAAATATAGCCCATGTTCTCTAGAAGCTGTACTATGTCCCTCGACTTCATCTCGAGAAATATTACATCCTCCAGATCACCTTGGGCTATATTTTAAACTATGCCCCTCAACCCAGTAAATATTTTTATATTATATACCTCATACATAGATTCTAGGCATCTGATTGGTTAAGAAGCAGGACAATAGAAAGTACTATTCCCCTCAAAATGTACTATTCCCCTAAAAAATAGTACTTTTTTTGACCTGTCGCAAACTCTAGGCCCACTACATCGCGCTGCTGACGGTTAATGATTGTACCATGGTTCCTCATTTATAAGCCCATCCTCCATTCTTCACATACTGTAGTTCCTCATGCATAAGCCCATTCCCTACTCAACACCCTGAGCTTATACTAGAGAAGGACAAAAGCTATGTTAATAATAAATTATTGAAACGTGATGTACCTTTCAAATATCAGTCTCCATATACCTTCGTTCTGGAACGGCGTCTTCATCCTCAGAATCAACGTATTCCTCAATACGAATCAGTTTTGGTTCACGTGGCAACGCATCCAGATCATCGTCACGTACAACAAAGAAGCCTCTGCCATTGTTACCTAAACTGGAGAAGACGCTGCGATTGCAAAATGGATCATCTTCATCTATGTCCCCATTCTCCTCGTCCTCTTGATCCCCCTCCTCATTTGCATTAGCAGGTGAGTAGTCTAGGCATTTTGGACCCGTTAATGAGATCATGATTGCTCCTATCGGGGCGGTGATCAGGATAACAAGCACAGCCAGTGTAAGCATCTGAAAAATGAGACATGTCTTACTTAAATATTGATTACATCGATGGTCCGCAACCTGTGGGCCTGGCCCAATTTTGGGCTGCCAAGCATTTTTGAAGGGCTGCAAAGTCGTCCAGGAAAACAAAAAATCAAAGATTTGTTTTTGTATACTGCTTCATTTATATAGGGAATATGTAATTTATGCAAAATTTTGTCACTAATTTTGACTTGTTCTTTGTACATTTCATCTCAATTCAGCTCTGTGCTGCCATGATATTTTAATTTTCTGAAATGAAGATACCTTGATATATATAATAGAACAAATAAGTATGTCAATTTATTGTATATCATAATAACATGGGGGTAATTAAAATGATCAAAACTTCTTTCTAGGATTTTGCATGTTGGTCCCTGGCACGGCTGGGCCAAGGCTTGATGCCTAAACTCTGAAGTAGAGCATGATGTATCACCGTACAGAGATTTTGCAGAACGCTGGCTACATGGAACATGGTAGGCCATGCCTGTTCCTCGCTCTGAAAAGTGCTGATTTTCTTAGCAGTACATGTTGGTTGGGTTGACGATAAAAGTTTATGGATCTCAGCATACTGCTTAAGGGAGTGTGATGACAAGTGTTAGAGAGCCGTAGTTTTACACATTGTTGGGTAGCTCATGACCTCTATACTGACATGTTCCACCTAATGCCTTTTCTCTTTTTACTAAAACTATATACTTATACATCTCTGCAACCAAATAATAACATCCCTTTTACACTGCCAGGGCAGAATAAACCCGTGTTAATTCCAGAGTGATCCCGGGTGCATTTCTCATTTACATGGAACGGAAAAGTCCGGGTTGCTCCCGAGTTTCTCCCATTTTACACCGACAACAAACTCAGGTTCAAATACCGCCCTCAATTTTTGTTGCGATGGTGAACATCACTTCACTCGAGTTCCTCATCGTGACGAAGCCACAATTATTGTCAATATTGGAGGAATTTATATGCAGATTGTTTTTAAATTATGCGAATTAAATCAGCAATTTTAAGTGCAGGATTTTAATTTCAAAAGTGTCTAGGCCTAACCCATTGGTAGCAAAGTTTAGGCCTACCTGACCACAGCTGCGGAAGGCGCCAGGTAAGGCTTAACTCTTGAATCGTATTTGGTGCTGTTTACACTGGCGATTCCGGAATGCACCCGGGTTGTCCTACGGTCTATGCGTCCCGCAAGTCCATCCCGGGATGTTTGGCAACCTGGGTTGTATTTTTTGACGTTTAAACCAACCACAACTCGGGAGTTTCTAGTCCGGGTATTGCAAAATCCTGGGTTGTGTCTGGAGTTTTGCTTGCAGTGTAAAAGGGGTATTAGATGTCATACCAACCTGAGTGGCCATTTCTATCTCACGTTCATCAGGATCATCTCTATTTGTTGCTTCTATTAATGCTGTAGAACCTATAGCCGCCTAAAACACAAACAAAAATATCAATACAAATGCATGTGATTAAAATTGTAATAAATCATTATTATCACATTATCTTTATCATCACAAGTATAAATTTACTTAATATTGAAATAACAGTTAATAAAATGAAGAGATTTCTCTAAACTTACAATATTCTTTTGGACTACAAATGCTTAAGATAAAAGAATAGGGGGACGGAGTGTTTAAGGACACAAAATAGGAATTCACTGGTTACAGCTGAAGGTAATTTATCTCTCTTAAGTCCTATTGAGACTATCAAATTTTATTTGACAGAAACATGTGACATGCCTAAATATGGTCATGATTACATCACACAATGACTATATATAGGCACATCATAACTAAATATGGGCATACAACAGTTTTTTGTCAAATTAAATTTGATAGTCTGGAAAGAGGTTTATATCTCTCAAAGAATAAGAGATACATTCTCACTATGTAAAAGATAACTCAATTGCAATGAAAACAAACCGGTGCATTGAAATTAACTGTAGAATGTATCACATTCGCTTGAAAATCATGAGAAATTACAGACACAGGTACTACGCAAGCCTCATTTAAGAGATTGTATAAAATACCAGCATCAAGGGTCAACTGAGGGTCATAAATAATCACTATAAAATATGCATTTTATAAAGAAAGCATATATTGTACTAAAATAAAAAAAAAACTTACCTGTACAGTAGCTTTTGGTAACCAAGCGAGGGCAGTAAACACCTTCTCTTTCCTGTTTAAATTTCCACCTGATGCGGAGAGATAAGTTAAAGCCATCCTGACCACAGAACCAATAAGGATAATAGCAATGCCCAACCCTATAAAAAGAAAAAGGAAGGAAAAACATAACTCAATGTCTTGCTTTTATCATAAAAGTATGATTAATGGTGCTAGTTAATACTCTATTACTATTCCATTTAACACTCTTACGTTAAGTCTATTATCCAACACCTTACATGTACTTCGATCATTTGCTACTCTTCAATTATCAGGCTTTCTATTCAGCTATGCCTTACCTTTAGAACTGAACTCCATTTACTGTTTGGATACTATACTATGTGAACTATGGGGCTAAGTGATACTCCTTTGGATTTTCCTATTACAGTAGGACACATGTTTTTATCAAGGTATTGCAAAATACACAATGAATAGTATCACATGGAGGAATACATACATGATTAAAAAAGCCAATAGTCTCTCAATATTACAATATTCTTAAATCCTATCTATTTCCTTTAAACTTACATACTGACTGATTTGGAAAAGTGATGTATTTTGAAAGAAGACCTGATATGATTTTGAAAAATGTGTTTTAGTTAAAAGGAAACTGATGAAGTTCCGCAAATCAGTGATGGATTCAAGGGTGCACTATTGGCCTGACCCTACCCCCAACCTATATTTTTCAAAATCATAAATAAATAGTAAAGAAAAAAAGAAAATTCAAAATAAAGTCTAAGAGTAGTGTTTCCGGCCACCTAGAGGTGCTATGACCATAAATTTTCTTACCCAACCAAGGTGGGGTTGAGGTGGGCTAGCCTCTATATTTCTGAAATTCCCTCCCAGGGCCCCCTCTATTTAGAATTACTGAATAAACTGCAAATTTATTCCGTAAATAACAAATACATATGGGGCCAGTGGTTTCAAAATCTCTTACAAAATAACAGACTATAGACTAAAAAGTAAACAGTGATGGAATTTAATAAGGGACCCAAAATCTCCACGGTTCACTGCATACAGAGTGGCTACTGCTAGATTTTCCAGCTGAGCTGCTGCTCTTAAAAAAATATTTGAGAAAAAAAAAATATCTACTATTGTTTCACAGCATTATTTTCTGTAAATTAGAATAAAAATATTGAACAACATGCTAATGATGACGATTGAATACTCAATTGTGATTGTTGCAGTGTTGATCCACATATCATATATTTGTTATTCTACAAGGGACTGAATAATAATTACAGTTTTCACACGACGTGTCCATTGTGCGACAAGAATAGCAGGGCTATTATAATACTATTTCTTTTATCCATCCACGCACTTGACAATTGTGACGGAATGCCAAGAATGACAGGATAAATAGGAGGCCTATAATGTATCTTTAAGGTTACGTGTGTTTGTATTCTATCGAATACGCTACACTACACAACTGAAAATTGCCTAACAATGCATATCAAATATTTCTTATACTATTATTTGGAAAATCAGGTTGCTCTTCAATAGATGAATTTAGAGGCCTAATTTAAAGCTTAGAGTTCCTACATAGATAATTAGGAATTCAGAACCGTGGTTTAGGAGCACTGATTACTAGTGTCTTGTTTTCCTTGGCAAAAGGCACACAATTATTTCCTATATTATTATAATTAAGTAATTGTCAAATTTATTATTTTGGATACAAATGTGAGGATTACGGATGTTCGATGACAAATGGATGAGCTGAGAATTCCCGAGCTATTGCGAATGTTTCTTAGAAACTTTAAGTAGACTCTTGAGCCTACTCCACTGGACAACAAAGGAGAAGCATGACAAGGCAGGCTGTTCTAAAATGTATCTCTTTTAGCAAATTTACTGCAAAAAGTTGAAATGAAAAAAATAGCTGAAATGAATCCATTTATCTATATAAAAAAAATATATATTACCTGTTTTGAAACTAAATATAAGAAAAATTCAATATTTGATTTCTTCCTGGAACTCAATCATTAAAGTTTTTCAAAAGTTTTAATTATACATCGGAAAACTTATTATGTTTCAGTCTTTGACATATCATGTTACTCTGCTTTAAGCTTGCTTTCCACTAGACGAATTTATTTACGCGAATTGAAAGCGTCGGTTCACATGCGCATGCAAATTCACATTCCTATCAGATTTTTTGCGAAACAAAAAATACGCAACCAATCAGAACTCAGGAAGTGAAGCAACGCTCTGATTCGTGTGAATAAATTCACCTAGTGGAAAATAGGCATTAAAGATACACTGCCAACAAAAATTTAAAACCTCAAAAAATTTGCTATACAAGAGCCTCAGTCCCATTAGGATGTAGAGGTAACCTATTTTATTTTCTAATCTATCATCTAATATAAGAGAGCCTTAATTCCAATAGAACCCACATCTATCCACACCCACCAAGATCCAGAGAATCCAAACAAATTTCCTAATTAAAAGAAGCCTAATCCCAATAGGATATTAGTTACTCACATGCTCTGAGATCTAAATAGCATCCACACTCTTATCTCCCACAAGGGGCCTCAATCTCAATAGAACACACATCAATCCGCACTCACTAAGATCCAGAGAAAAGCAAATACATATTTCCCACTTAAAAGGAGCCTAATTCTAATAGGATTTAGGAAGCATATTCCATTGCTCTGAGATCTAAATAGCTTCCACACTTCCATCTCCCACCAGGAGCCTCAGTCTCAATAGAACCCACATCTATTCGCACTCACTAAAATCCAGAGGCATCTAAACACATTTCCAAATTAAAAGGAATCTAATCCCAATAGGATTTAGTTACTCACATGCTCTGAGATCTAAATAGCATTCACACTCATCTCCCACAAGGGCCACAATCTCAATAAATCCCACATCTATCCCCACTTACTAAGATCCAGAGAAAAGCAGATACATATTTCCCACTTCAAAGGAGCCTAATTCTAATAATTGGATTTAGGTACAGTATTCGCATACTCTGAGATCTAAATAGCTTCCATTCCATCTCCCACAAGGCTTCAATCTCAATAGAACCCACAACTATTTGCACTCACTAAAATCCAGAGGCATCCAAACACATTTCCTAATTAAAAGGAGCGTAATTCTATAATAGGATTTAAGTACTTTACTCGTATGCTCTGAGATCTAAATAGCATCCACTCTCCCATCTCTAACCAGGAGCCTCAATCTAATAAAACAAGATCCAGCCAACGAAAAATAAATAAATACCAATGGTTATAAATGGCATTTAGAAAACAAAAATACCAGAGAAATAAATGTTTACTTCCCATCTCAAAGGTTTGCTCTAATGACCTAAGCATACCAATGAGTTGTTTGATGATAGACATTGAATGTTCTAAACCAATCAGATGTTAGATACTTCCACAGTACAAGTTTGGCCTAGTCATTGATTAATAATAATAGTTTCCTATATAATATTAGTGTCTACAGTACCTACCAGTTCAAAGATAACCGATATCAATGTCAAGGTAAATGCTGAGGTGGGTCATTGTGACAAGATAATTTACTGCATATTATACAAAACACTATTTTTGGTAACATATAAATATATGTCGGTATGTGCAGGTATGTCAGGAGTTTGTATAGAGCACCACATATTCTCGCGTATACTGTAAGGTGATACGCACATAAAACGACCTCCAAGTTTAGTAAGATTTTTGTATGTCAGGCATACAAGTCGACACCCCGACAAACACCCCCCTCCCTGTTTCACCGTCGAAATCCTATTCTCTTCTGCTCTTTATGGTTTTGAAACTGCATCTAGCTAGCTAAATTCAGAGCCAAATGTAGGGCTAATCTCCCAATACCATTTTATCGGCTTTTAAATGTTCATTAAAATCTTATTTTAACGCATTTAAAATTGCATTCATTCACACTAATAACAGTTAGTAACTTCATTGCAGCAGTAAATTTGCGTGCTACGGACAATCCGTCCATAAGGCGAACATGATGTAAAAATATAAAAATTGAATTTGTTACACATATAAGACGAAACCCTGTTTTTCAATCGTAATTTGCTATTATAATTCTCGTCTTATATGCGAGAAGATACAGTACGTACGTACGTGTGTATGTTTAGTGCAGCAGCATTTCTTTATAAACAGTGGTATAATTTCTAAAATTACCAGGGACGGATCAAGAGATGCCTGAAAAGGGGGGGGGGGCCGAAAGTGGGGCAGAGTG